ACATTTTGGATCTATAAAGTTTTTTGGTTGCTTCATATATATGTCTTCTTGAAGATCTCCAAGCAAGAAGGCCTTTTTATTGTCAAGTTGTCTAATTTCCCATTTATGACAAGTAGCAAGAGCAAGAATCAACCTTACAATAATGTGTCTCACATCTGGACTGAAGGATTCAGCATAATCAAGCCCTTGTTCATGTGTATACCCTTGTGCAACCAATCTTATTTTGTATCTTGCAATGCTGCCATCTGGATTCTTCTTTATTTTATAAATCCATTTACTCCCCACAATAGACCTATTAGCTGGAGTTTGAACCAATATCCATGTACCTTGAGCCTTTAGTGCATCATATTCATTCAACATTGCTTGCTGCCAATAAGGATTTGATGAAGCGGCTTTTAATATTTTTGGTTCATTAGTATCATTGATTTATGCTAAAAAGGAATATCTAGCATAATCACAACTTGTAGTGATTTTAGCTCAGGTAACACATACAAATAAGCAGCATAGTTTTTCCTCATAATTGCACTAGATTGCAATCTAGTTGTCATACTGTGTGTTTTGCTATAACTAGATATATGATTAGCTTCATAAATGGATTTATGTGTATCTGGGATAGGCAATATTACTTGAAGTTGTGCAGGATCAAAGACATGCAACAATGGGAGAAATTGATCTCGTGTTTGAGGAAGAACCTGTGAACTGTGTGTTTCAGATTCATGAGATGACCCTTCAACATTTGATGATTGAGTGTGATTAGAACCATTTCGAAGTCCACCAGATGTTATGTAGATCATGAAGTATACCCAATATCAAATTGCTGTACTTGAGTTGATGAAGTTGTAGCATGATTCATTACCTGAGATGTATTATTTTGACTTTCAAAAGTTACAACATTCACAATCACTAGAGATGAAGAACTAGGAACTATTGTGTTTATATTCTCAGAGATTTCAAATCTATTAACCTTTGTTGGAAATTGATTTTCCTCATGAAGCACATGTATGGATAAAATTAATATTTTGGCTTGCGGATGATAGCAAATAACCCCCTTATATCTTGATGCATATCCTAAGAACAAACATATTGAAAACCTAGGTTGCAGTTTGTTATCATTATAATGCCTTAGGTATGGATACACAATTGTGCCAAAGACTTTCAACTCTTGTAGATTAGGATGTTTGTCAAACAATGCAAAATAAGGAGAGTTCATGTGTAATGTTTTAAAAGGCATCCTATTTATTAAGAACATTGCATGAGCACATGCATGATACCAAAATTCTTAAGCTAGACCAGTTGCATCCATTAGAGTAATTGCAGTTTCAATAATATGGCGATGTTTTCTCTCAGCCAAGCCATTAGCTGAGAGAAAACATCGCCACTCTATTAGTCATTCTAATAGGTCTATTGTGGTGTGTAAATACATGCCACTCTATGAGTCATACCATTTGTTGCTATGAAATCCTTAAAAACATTACTTATGAATTCACCGCCTCCATCTGATTGTAAACTTTTAATTTTAAAACCAAACTGCACTTCAACAAACTTGTAGAACTTCACAAATGTAGAAAATACTTTTGATTTATTGAATAGTGGGAAAATCCACACAAATTTTGTATAATCATCTACAAATACTACATAGTATCTATACCCTTCAATTGATCTAATAGGAGGATGTACCCTATACATCTGTGTGCACTCTATCAGATGGTAAAATACAACTATTTGACTCATCATGAAAATGAGTTTTAGTTATTTTGCCATGAATACATGCGGTGCACATCTTATGAACATCATCTATAGAATGAGAAATATGAGATTTAGCTAACATCACTAACAGAACTTCATTAGTTGGATGTCGTAGCCTTTGATGCCACACTAAATACTTCACTAACTAACCCAACAAAGTAGTTGCAGAAGAGAAAGTTAATGCAAGAATCTGAAACAATTCACCAGGTTTAATTCTTCCTTTGTACAACATCTCTCTTGTGTCCTGCATAAAAACAATGTGTCATCACACATAAACCAACATGTATTGTCTTTACATAGCTGTGTTACAGACATGAGATTGGTTGCAATGGAAGGCACATGTAAAACTTATTTTAACATAAGAGAGTGAGATGGAGTTTTAATCACTATAGAACCAGTGTGCTGAATAGGTAAGTCTTAACCATTGCCAATTTTAATAGTTTTTGAACCTTCAAATGTTGTTCAAGCTAGTAAGATTTGATGTCATGTGATGAGAAACTCTAGTATCTAGTATCCACATAGGTTGATTTGCTGTTATTGTAGTATTTTGAGCTGCCAGAGCATGTATTAATGTCTTATCGATCCCAGGAGGATTTTGAGATGGAACAAAATTTGGAGCACCAAGAATTTGATATGAAAAATGAGTAGCATATGAGCCTTGAGAGTTAGATGGACCAGGCTGCTGAGAAAATGAAACGTGTGGGATTTGAGGAACTTGTTGATTTGCATTGAAAGTTGGTTGCAAAGATCGTGGAGGTCCAGCAGCTTGATATGAATAGTTGCTCCTATGGTAACACTCAAGAGCAATGTGCCCTATTTTTCCACATATCTGACACTTAGTAGTAAATCTAGTTGCTAGTATCTGAGAATTCTCGTAAAAGCAATTTAAAGCAGTATGACATCTTCTTTGACAAATTTGACACTCAAGATGTTGAGTTGTCCTTTCTAGACTAGTTATTACTTGATCTGTAGTTATTAAACCTTCTACCTCTATAGTTAGACTTAAAACCATTTCCTCTTTGTTAATTTCCATTATATGGTCTCTGTTGGTTACCATTATATTGTGTAGGAGGTGGGATTTGTTGACCATTGGTGAAAGATGGATCCATGTTACCAACAAACCCATTGTCATAGCCAAACTTATTTGGTTCAAGAAAATAAGCACATTGCACTTGATGAAACTGAGACTGAGGCTGAGACTGTGTTTGAGAGAACAATGGAATGAATCCAGGTGGTTGGGATCCATAAGGTACCCTTGGAACATGAATGATTCGACCACCAGTGCTAGAGGATTCCTCATTAGCAGAATTAGAACAAGATGCACCATTATTGAACTAAGATGATCCTACAGAACTAGAACCCCCTTGCATATATAAAGCTAACATGCTATGAGAAAAATAGTTAATAGTCATGTCATTTTCCCTTTCAGCACCAAGTAACAAAACTCGAAACTTTTTCATGGAAACAGTAATATCTCTAGTCAGAATCATAGTTCTAATCATAGCATACTTCTTTGGCAAACCAGCTAATGCAACAATCATAACATCATTATATAACATAAACTCTCCTGCAACTGTTAACTAAACCCTAATAGATTTCAACTTCAACAAATATTTATTCATTGTATCTCCTCATTTTTAATGGTATGTAATTATGTTTTCTAGTGATTAACTGTAGTTTTAGACACTGAAGCATATCTCTCCTCAAGATTAGACAAAGCCTCTTTAGCAATTCTACACCCAATTACATATTCTATAGCATCATCAGAAAGATAAGCAATCAACAAACTTAACAGTGTCAAATCAATGGACTCCCATTCATTAAATGCTCTTGTAATTTCTTTGTTAACCCCAGATTCAGCATTGAGCACAAATTTAGCAGGACATTCAACAATACCATCAAAACCATCAAAAAGCTTGTATCCTTTTAAGATAGACTTAAACTGGAATGCCCATTTAGTGTAATTATGTTTACTAAGCTTAATTGTAAGCATACCCAACAACCCTTCAACTTTCACAAGTGGAGATGCCATAGCTATACTTCAAATCAACAACTAAACAACTTTTCTTCAAGACAAGAAATAAACCACTAAGCTTCAAGTTTCAAGAATTGCAAGAAACAATTAAAATCACTGGCTTTGACCTTTTTGATTCAGCAACTACAATCAACACTATTTAACAAGATTGAAAAAAACCCAAAACTTGGAATCACTGGCATTGGCCTTTGGATTCACTCCACATACTGAATTGATGGCATTGGCCTTTGTACAATTCAGAGATCTATATCATCGAGACATATAGAAATGGCATTGGCCTTAATCTTGACAAGAAAGTAAAGATGCTAACTACTATCACAAAAAATTGATCTTCAAGAGCTTCAAGAAAAGCAAGATTCAACAATAAATCTTCATGACAAGATGATATGTTGAAGAATTTCGAACATAGAACCTGAGATGTCACCGGATTTAACATTTTCTCCGTTGTAAACTACCATAAGAATCACAGTTGCAGAAATCGATACAAGACAAATCGCTGGAAACATGATGACCAAAATCTGCCACAAAAATTCTCAATCAGATCTTCTCAGCAGATCGCTGGCTCGATACCATCATAACAATGCTCAATCAAGCTTTACAAAGTTGCAGAAATTATGAGAAAGTTGAAAAACTTCATAAATGTAAAGAGTCGAAGAGAGAGAAGAGAGAGAAAGAGGGAAAAGTATAGCTTTGAAGAGATTCACATTAATGAGAAATGAGAAGCTCCATCAGTACATATAGTGTTTGAGATTCTAACTAACTAGCTTACAAATAAAGGCAGCCAGCCAACTAACTCATAACAACCTAATCTTATTACAATTTAATTACACTTTGACGCATGGACCAATACACTAAAGCCACATCAGCATTCTGTTATTAAGTATAATATGTTTAGGTATGAACTTTACAATATATTTTCTTATGTGCCACTAATTCAATATAATATATTTAAGTACGGACATTTCAGTATACTAGTTCAGTAAAATGTATTATGGTACAGACGTTTAGGTACACAAATTAGAGAAAGTTAAGCAAAATTAATGAATTAAAATGTTTATAAAAATACATGAAATTTTTTATGCGGAGACTTTAAATAAGATATCCATTAAATATTAAAACAAAAATATGAGATAAATTTGAATTAAGTACACATTAAAAGACTAAAATTAAAATGTAATCTAACACCAAATTTTTACGAATTTTTAATCTTCTTCAAGGATTATAGTTCAAAAACCCCCAAAATTCCGTATTGCAAAACTTCATTATATATATCAAAGTACTCGACAATCATCCTCGAAAACACATCGTCACCATCATACTGATCAATGCTTGATGAAAACCCGCTCATGGGCCCAGAAGACTCGAATGCCATCAGATCAACATGCGACACCAGATAATCACTCGATGGCCAATGGTTGTCATGGCTTGTCACCGTATGATCACTTGTTGCCTTAACGATCGGTTCTTGAACTGATGATGAAGCGAAGGGTGCAGAAAATAGGTGCTCTTGTTTGATTGTCAAACAATTGGCACTATCAAAACTAATAAACTCTGAAGAATCTCTAGGACTTGTGCAATCCAAGACCAGTTCAGAAGTTTTGAAGTAGTCTCTGCAGGTGTGGGTGCCATAGTATGTGGTTCGAAACATTGGTGGATGATCCTGAACCTGTTGCACATGCTTGGTTGCTTTGCACGCTTGATCGAATTTGTGAGTACATCTAAAGTAGTTCCTGCATAACATATAACATAGCCACATGGTCTACTCCTTTCTTGAAATTATTACCATTTTAATTACTGAAATTTGTCACAATTTCACAAGGTAAATCGTATATATGTATGTACCTTGGATGCTTGGCATTGCGGATATTTTTTTGTCCATATTTTCGCCATGCATGACCGTCATCAATCAAAGCAGGAGTGTCTTTAGTCCAAGAGTGTGCAGTGTTTCTGTAAGGAATCAACAAGTTGCAACTCTTGTTAGAACTTTTAAATCATTAAATTAGGCAGAATTCCCATCTATTTTTTATAAAATTACGGTTAACGTTAACTGGTAATGCTAGCATTATGCTTCCACGGTAAGAAAGATAGGAATGCATATTTAGATCATTAAATATAACGAAACTAATAGAAGCATCCAAGTTTTGGCCAAAATATGGCATAACTGGTATGCTAGTCTTTCATTCCTTTGTCTCAATAATTTCTATGCATTATTGAATAAAATAAAAACAATTATACTCATTCACAGGAATCTAACAGTTGTTGTAAAATGTATGGTTAACATTATGTGGATGTTTAGATCATTAGACAAGGAGCAATCGAAGCATCCAATTTTTTTCAGAATATGGCATAAACATGAACATACGACAGCACTCTTTTGTCTCAATAGAAATTTCTATTCATTATTGAATAAAAAAATAACAATTATACTCATCCACATGAATCTAACAGTTGTTATAAGTAAATTAATTTTAATTATAGTTGTTCACACATCCACATAAATCTAACAGCTATTGTAAGCAAATTAATTACAGTTATTCATCACTGGTGGATCATTATTTAATTGTCAAAGTAAAATATTATTTAGTGTTAGGTTTATTAAACAAATGTTTGAGATTGAACAATCAATTAATCATACATGGAAAGAGCACTTAATTGGAGAAAAAAATTATTTGGAACAACATGTTAATGCAGATGTTGATGAATATTACCTAGGTAGTAATTAATTAGAGAAATATAACTAATTACCTTCCCTTGTAATAACTTCTTCGATCCTTGAAGGTTGAAGTGCTCTTACAATTGATCTTGATCTCCTCCTCAGGATAATCTTCAGACTTAATAGCAGCTACATGATCATGATTAGCACCCCAAGATGATGAATCTGCACCACCACCAGCATCACTACCACCTTCACTAGCACCACTACCACCATCACTACCACCACTACCACTGACACCACTGCTATTTCCTTGAATCTGATCAGAAACAAACTCTTGATCAGTCTCCTTCCCATTCATAATCAAAGGGGTATTCACAACTGACCCCAAAATCTCATTAATAATACCTTCATCCGATCCCCCATCATCACCATTAACAAGTGACCTGTTATCAAAAGCCGTACTAAGTTGACTTGCCAGTTCACGCCCTTAGATCAACTCCTCCATCACCTTCTCCTTATTTGAGAGCACGCTTTCCGACCACGACCACTGCATTAATCCTAATCTCCTGATTAACAACTAACATATATAGCGATTAAAAAATTAATTAATCTCTCTGTAGAGGGTTTGTGGTTTTCTTAGCTGTAGCCAAATTAAGTGATATGGGAGGGGTAAATAGCCAAAATAGTCCTTGAGATTTGCATAACTCATCACTTTGGTCCCTAACATTTCAAATCAATTAAAGTGGTCCCTGAGATTGTCCACCATCCATCATTTTGGTCATTCCGTTAAAAACTCCGTTATGTGTCCCGGAGCTCTTGGTCGGAAGTTTAGGCAATTTTCAGAGCTTTGTAACTCAATCGTTTCTTAACCAAATTCGACCCATAATATATCAAAATGAAGATAGGAAAGTGTAGAATAAGATTATACATATTTGGAAACCCAATGGTTGCCAGAGATGGCCTGAAAATAGCAGAAAACTGGAAAACTCGCCGAAAACTGGATAAACTTTAAACGTTCATAACTTCTTCAATACTCAACGAAATCAAGTGATTCAAAAACAAAATCATACTTCTCGATAAGACGAAGAGAATGGTACCTTTTTCGGTTGCTAAATCGTCATGGTTTGGCCTGAAATTGATGCAACTTTCGAGCCATTTTTCGACCAAACCATGACGATTTAGCAACCGAAAAAGGTACCATTCTCTTCGTCTTATCGAGAAGTATGATTTTGTTTTTGAATCACTTGATTTTGTTGAGTATTGAAGAAGTTATGAACGTTTAAAGTTTACCCAGTTTCCGACGAGTTTTCCAGTTTTCCCTCGGATTAGTCAACTTTGAGGCTATTTTCAAGGCCATCTCTGGCAACCATTGGGCTTCCAAATAGGTATAATCTTATTCTACACTTTCCTATCTTCATTTTGATATATTAGGGGTCGAATTTGGTTAAGAAACGATTGAGTTACAAAACTTTGAAAATTACCCAAACTTTCGGCTAAGAGCTCTGGGACACTTAACAGAATTTTTAACGGAATGACCAAAATGATGGATGGTGGACAATCTCGGGGACCACTTTGATTGATTTGAAATGTTAGGGCCAAAGTGATGAATTATGCAAATCTCAGTGACCATTTTGGCTATTTAGTCGATATGGGAGGTAACCTTTTACATCCGTCAAAAGAAGGTCCTCTGAAATCGTAATTAATCGTAAGCGGATGTATGACATTGCAATTAATCGTAAGTTGATATGGTCAATTGAATATAAATGTTAAATCTTTCTTCATTTTCATGGATGGAGAAATTTTTTAGTGTGCCACGAACGCAACCCGGTACACCAAGTGTCATGCCAAATGAGATGTCAAATCCTAAAACAGGAGCAAGCTCCAACTAATATGTCAATCCTATGTGGATTGACATATGAGATTTCATATGTCAAATTTGACATATGAGAAAATGTGATGTCAAATAATTTTAAATTATTTTATTGTGTGGATCCCATGAATGCACCAATTACAGATCTTGAAAATTTATTTTAATTTATTTTCTTTTTAAAATGAGCCCTATAAATATCATTTATAACAAAAAAACATATCGGTTGGAAAAAAAGAAAATCTAACATTGCCACTTCATCTATCAAATTAAAATTTGACATTTATCTTTTGACATCTTATTTGGATATGCTCTAAAATTATTAGAAAATTTTGTTTTTAAGTTTCCAACTAATTGTATTATTACATTTAGTGTATTAGGTCATACGCCCAACAAACTGAAATATCTCTCCAGTAAATGTGTCAAATATTTATTTTATTAATATATTGGTCCAATGGTTACAATAATTATTCAAAAATAATCAAAATTGTCGATAGGACCTGTGCATTAAAAAAATTAAATTAAAAACATTTAACTCCATCTTTATTTACTGTGGAAAAAAATAAGTACAAAGTAAATAGTAAAATAACTTATCTATCACTTTGTATATAACATCTCTCTTGAAGAATATCTTGATATATTTTTAGTTTTAGCGCGTATTTGACATTTCCTTTAGAAGTCTCATGGTGAGGAAAGGAAAAGTGACGGTCCAAGAGTCACAATCCAAAACCACGCACGCGTTTTAAGTCTATATTCGGTGTGATTGTTCCACGCGCGGTTGTTGTTTACTTGTTGCTATCTTACGACATGTTTACGGCGTCATTGCATGAGGTAAGCTAGTGTCGTCAGCCACATGTTCCTATTTTTTATAATATTAGTAAACCAACAATATAAAAATCACTAGTTGTTGGGCCATCTATATTATCATATTTCTTAGGCTTATCTTTAAGGAATTAGACTTTCAACTTGTTTTAGATTTTTAGCCTTATCGATTACAACAGGAATTGCATAGATATATTTGTTCACATTTCACCTCAAATCATCAGGTATACGTGTTAATAGAAATTGAAGGGTTCGTTAATTAACATTTCACAAAACAATTTTCAACAGCTATTTTGTAAAATGAAGACAACATATAAGACTTTATGAAATGAGAATGAGTCTAATAGTTTAATTCGATAGCGATTTTTAGAAAGAAAAACACTAAAAACGTGTCTAATATGAATATCTAAAATGTTAAAAAAAAAAACTTATAAATTTATGTTAGGTAGCTAGTAATAATTGTGTAAAATTTTAAGATGGTGAATAATGTAGTGGTAGAGATAGTAATTGTTGTGAACTTGTGAGAGTGGTATTGATAGCAATGATGGCTGAGGTGGTGGTAGTAGTGGTGACAATAGAAGTGTCAGTTGTGGTGGGATAAGTGGTGACCATAGTCGAGTACGGGGCAATGGTGGAGGCTGTGGTGGTAGTGCTGATAGTGGAGACGATGGTAGCAGAGCTTGGTTGTGTCAATAATGGTTGTAAGGGATGATTTCAAAACTGGTGGTTAGGAGGTGGTGGGGATGATAGTGGCGAAAATAGTAGAGGTGGTGGTGGCCATGGTGGAGGTGATGGTGGTGGACATTGTGAAATTGCTGATGGTGATGATTGTGGTGGCTATGGTGGCAGTAGTGGTGGTTCAGTGGGATGGTGGAAGTGGTGGTGGCCATAGTGGATGTGTGATAGAGGTGGAGGATGTGGTGGTGGTGGTGGTGGCATAAAAGAATTTTTTTTTTCTTAAATAAATGCGGTGCATTTTCTATTAATATAGACTATTCTTGAAAAACATAGGAAATATTAATTTGATGTTTTACAGAACTTAAGCTAAATATTGTTTTTTACATTTTTTATTTTTTTTGAGTTTATTTTTACATAGCAATGTAACAAAGAAGCATGTATTTCTTCTAGAGGATCTTCTAATTGTCTCCGAGAAACTAGAAAGAGATTATTTAACAATAAGAATTCAGTTTAGATATAGGATACCAATCCAAAAATCAACCCGTTTTTGGTATCTTCAAAATGAAAAACTGTTTTGGAAAACGTTAAAGAACACACACTAATTGAAACAACTAAATTAGAGAGGGTTCTTGTTGTAAGATCATCATAATTGTAAAACTATACAAGGAAAATTCTAAAACAATAGGGTTCTTGTTGGTTTATAATTTTGTGCATTTCGTTTCTATTCACAGATCGTATCGAATTTTATCAGAGCTCTACTTATCGGAGAATTGATTTGATTATTTTGTGCATTAAGTTTCCATTAAGTTTGAGCATTAAGTTTCCATTAATCACTTAACAAGAAGAAATAGGAAAGATTGCTTCTTGTTTTCTTTTTGTTCTTCCAATAATTTACTGTGTTTACACAATTTTATACACCGAGAAAGCAATAAGTTTCTTCAAAGAAACCGAACATACACCCGATTCTCTTAAATTCAATTTACTACAAGGAGTACGCTAGCTACGTACTAATCATCAAAACTCAAAATTCAAAATCCACATTGCAAAACTTCATTATATTTATCAAAGTAAGACTCGGCAATCATCCCCCAAAACATATTGTCATGATCATACTGATCAATGCTTGATGAAAACCCGCTCATGGGCCCAGAGGACTCGAACGCCGTCAGATCACGCGACACAAGATGATCGCACGGTGATGAATGGTTGTGGTCGCTTGTCACCATATGATCAGTTGTTGGCATATCTTCTTTGACGAACACTTCTTCTTTAACCGATGATGAAGCGAAGGATGCGAAAAATGGGTGCTCTTGTTTGTTTGTCATACAATTGACGTTTTCAAAACTAATGAACTGTGAAGAATCTCTAGGACTTGTACAATCCAAGAGCAGTTTAGAAGTTTTGAGGTGGTCTCTGCACTTGTGGGTGCCATAATATATGGTTCGAAACACTGGTGAATGATCTTGAACTTGTTGCACGTGTTTGGTTGCTTTGCACGCTTGATCGTATTTGTGTGTGCATCTAAAGTAGTTCCTGCATATATATATATATATATATATATATATATATATATATATATATATATATATATATAGCATAATGTGGTTAACTTCATTTCTTGAAATTATTACCATTTTAATTATTGAAAATTGTTATAATTTTACAAGGTAAATCGTATACATGTATCTACCTTGGATGCTTGGCATTGTGGATAATTTTTTGTCCATACTTTCTCCATGCATGACCGTCGGCAATCAACGCAGGAGTATCTCTAGTCCAAGAGTGTGAAGTCTTTCTGAAATGAATAAACAAGTTGAAACTCTTTGTTATTAAAACTTTTAAATCATTAGGCAAAATTCCCATCTATTTTCTATGAAGGATAAGGAACAAATGAAGCATTCGAATTTTGTCAGAGGATGGCATAACATGAACATATGAGTGCAAGTGGTAGTCTTCACTCTTTTGTCATTCCAGAAATTATATGCATTATTGAATAAAAAATAATTATATTCATCCACAGGAATCTAACAGCTGTTGTCTGAGTATATTATTTATAATTATTTGTTCAAACATATAAATAAATCTAACAACTTTTATGAGCAAATTAATTAACAAGTTGCAACCCTTTGTTATTAAAACTTTTAAATCATTAAATCACACAAAATTCCCATCTATTTTGTATGAAATGTACGGTTAACGTTAAGTGGTAATGCTGCCATGGTAAGAAGGATAGTAATGGATATTTAGATAATTAAATATAAGGAACAACCGGATATTTAGATAATTAAATATAGGTTTTTTTATTAACACCCCACAAATTATTGAATACACCCCACTCAATATTTAATGTTAAATAACTTGTATAAAATGACTATTTAAGCCCTAAAAATTTAAAAAAGAAAGAAAGAAAGAAAGAACAATTATTTTCTTCCTGCACCCCAAATCATTTAAAAAGATTTTGACTTTTTTTTTGTCCGTTCTTTCCCTTGTTGCTCATTCTCTGTTTAGTTATTCTTAATTTAATTTGTATTATGTAGTTTCTTGATCGGCTATAGTGCATTTTTCATGAATTAAAGACTACAACTGATATGGGTATTGATGAACTGCTCGATCCGAAGCGATTTTTCACAGTACTGGAAAAGAAGAAGCAATAAGTAAAGAATACAGTAGTCAAAACTGATATTTGTAGGTTGCAAATGTTCATTTCCCTTTCCTCTTTTTCACAAAGTTTTATTTAGAGGTTGCAAATGTGCTAAGACAAAGACTTTAATTTTTATTTTATTTTTTGGGTACAAGATGAGGACTTGAGGTGGATTTTGGTGTGGGGTATGTGGGGTGTATGGAATGTGTGGGGTGTGAGGGTAGATTTGGTTAGTAAGTGAGGTCTATTAAGATAATTTTTAGTTTAAAAAATAAGTGTGGGATTTATTAAGTATGTGTGGTGTATTCAACAATATGTGGGGTGTGAATATAATAAGCCTTAAATATAAGGAACAACAATAGCATTCAAATTTTGTCCGAATATTGCATAAAATGAACATATGAAAGCAAGTGGTAGTCTTCACTCTTTTACTCTACAGAAATCATATGCATTATTAGGAAAAAAATAAATATATATTTATATATTCATCCACATGAATCTAAAAGCGGTTGTGTGAGTAAACTAATTACAATCATGGTTGTTCACACATCTACATAATCTAATAACTATTACGAGCAAATTAATTAACTAGTTGCAACTTTTTGTCATTAAAACTTTTAAATCATTAAACCAAACAAAATTCTCATTTTTTTAATGAAATGTACGGTCAATGTTATGCAGTAATGCTGCCATGGTAATAAGGATAGGAATGGATATCTAGATGGATAGTCTTTTGATATGAGTCTAAAATAACTAAAAATTGCATTTATTTTAAAAGTAAAAAATTACTAAAAATTAGACCTATTTCAAAAGTAGGCCTATAAAATTGGACCTATTTCAAATTTTCTCTTAGATTTAAATTCAATATAAGTTACAACGGTAGCTTTCAAATTTTGTTAGAAATGGCACAAAATGAACATATGAGAGCAAGTGGTAGTCTTCACTCTTTTGTCTCTACAAAAATTCTATGCATTATAGGATAAAAAAATAATAATTATATTTATCCACAGGAATCTAACAGCTGTTGTGTGAGCAATCTAACAACTTGTGTTAGATTAATTATAATTATAGTTGTTCACGTATCCACATAAATCTAACAACTATTATGAGCAAATTAATTATAGCTTTCCTTATCACGCACTAGTGGATGATTAATTATCAAAGTAAAAGACTCTTTAGTATCGTAGGTTTCATACACAAATGTTTGAGATTAACAATCAATTAATCATACATGTAAAGAGTCTTTAACTGGGAAAAAAAATTCATTTTGAACAATATGCTAATTAATGCAGATGTTGACGAATATTACCTAGGTAGTAATTAATTACAGAAATATAACTAATTACCTTCTCTTGTAAGAACCTCTACCATCCTTGAAGGTTAACGTGCTCTTACAACTGATCTCCTCCTCAGTACAATCTTCAGACTTCATAGCAGCTGCATGATCATGATTAGCATCCGCAGATGATGAATAAGCACCACCACCACCATCACTACCACCGTCACCAACACCACTACCAACACCACTACCACCGCCACCAACACCACTACCACCACCACTACCATCGCCACTCACACCACTACTATTTCCTTGAATCTGATCAGAAACAAACTCCTGAACAAACTCCTGAACAGACTCCTTCCCATTTATAATCAAGAGGGTACTAACGAATGACCCCAAAATCTTATTAACAATACCTTCAGCCGATCCCCAATCATCACCATTAACAAGTGACCTATTATCAAAAGCCTTACTAAGTTGACTTGCCAGTTCACGCCCTTGGATCAACTCCTCCATCACCCTCTCCCTATTTGAGAGCACAGTTTCCGGCCACGACCACTCCATTAATCCTAATCTCCTGATTGCCAATTAATTTATATAATGATTAAAAATTAATTAATCTCTGTGTTTGTGAGGGTTTATGGTTGCTTAGCTGTAGCCAAAGTGACGGGAGGTATCGTTTTATATCCGTCAAAAGAAGCTCCTCAGGTTGAAGGAAGGACAAGTGAAACTCCAGGAGTCACAATCCGATACGATACACGCGATTCAGGTATATCTTTCCAACCAAAGTCCGGATGAGCCTCCACGTAATGCTATATTTGGTTGATTGCTCCACACGCGCTTGTTCTGTGCTTGTTGCTATCTGAAAATAAAACTCAAAAAATAATAATAATAATAATAATGCAAGAGTGCTACTAGATAAAAATCACCAGTTGTTGGGCCATCTATATTGTTGGGCGTCAGCCACTGGTTCCTACCTGGGCTTGTCGAAATTTTTTAATTTATTGTGTTTTTAATTATTTATTTATTTATAATATTAGTAAACCAACAATATAAAAATCACCAGTTGTTGGGCCATCTATATTATCGTATTGTCTTATTGTAATTCGGAAAGAGTGTACTAGATCCACTTTATTGTTTTATTTTTTAATTCATGTTGTTATCCTAATTATCATAAAAAGTTAACAAATTAAAATACTATTTTTCCACCTATTATTTCTAAAATTACCTCTAATGTACTTAAAAAACAAAATCCTTTGATCTCCTTAATCATATCGCCGCACCTTCATTATAGTATAGCAGCACCAACACATGACTTTCAATGAAACTTTGGATTTGGGTGGTGGGTCGAGGTCCAGCTATTGTGGACTAGTAGGTGGTTTGTATTTTCTCTGCAGGTCGTTGGTTCTCTGAAACTTTGGATTCAAAACAACCCACCAATGAGTTTCAATGAGGTTGTGACCTTCTTGGTGTTGGAAAGATGAAAGCATTTTAGGGAAAATCATGAGCTGCTTTGCTCTTGCCTCTCTTAAGTTTGAGTGCATCTTGTCGAACCCCACCTCCATTTGACACCCTACCACACCTAAACCCCTTATATACCTGCCTCAAATTCAAGCCATACCAATATCCACTTTTGCATATCGGTGCCGCTGAGGACGATGAGAGGTGATTACTTGTTAATGGCAAGTCACCCGGTTTTCTCTTTTTCCCCTCTCTTTTATTCCACCAGCCGTACGATCAAATCCACTCAATCGTGGCCGTTACAAAATAGTACCGCAAACTGCTATGTAGTACACATAGGGGTCTAAAAGTCTTTTTTATAAAAGGATAAATATGTCATTAAATTTTCATTTAACAAGTGTGTCGAGAAATAGGACAACCAGATGAGTTTTGTGGAGAATGAGTCTCATATTGATGAGAAAAAGGACATTGCATGGATTTATAAGTTGAGCTACTTCCCATATTGCCAATTGGTTTTATCATTTATGATGAAATCTCAACTTTCTTCATGGTATCAGAGCAAGTTGTTCCATGTGCGAAGCACAACGGCCACACACGCTCCATGTCACCCTATTTGTGTTCACGTGTTTGACTTAAAAAATTGCCACATGTAAGATAGCATGTTGAGAGTCCCACATTGATGGAAGAAGAGACCTTAGACGGGACTCATTCTCAACAAGTTTAACAGCATTCTTCTGAAATAATACTCGCTTCCTAGTTGGGCAAATTCCGATTACATCCTTTATGATTGTGCTCTTTGAGCCTTATTGAGAGGTGGAGATTTTAGTTATAAATGGCAAAGAGTGTGGCGTTAAGGTGGTAGTTTGCATCTCCAGCGTCCTTGTTCTTCTATATTTACTGTCATGATTCATATTATCATGTACCGCAATTAAATTCATCATTTCCCATCTAAATGTCTCACGTGTAGTTATATAACCCTTTAATATCAAAGGATCTTTGTATTCAACAGTTTTCCTATCAAAGTGATAATACGAACTAATCTTTAAAATATGATTTCAACTTTTCCCGCGTTAGAAAATTCATGATGTTAATGTCTCTTATATTGAGTGATTTTATTATTGAATTTCACATGTAGTTAAGTTATATAGCTTCTAATAGTGTAAACGATAAATGTCACAGCCTGTCCCGAGATTTTCATATCGAAAGTATGAAATGACGGAAATACCCTTGACGTTACTAAGGTGTGTGTGTGACATGTTTTAGATATTTCATATTTTTCCTAACCTATTGGAAATATTATTTAAGTTAGATAAGAATATTGAAAGGTTGGATTGTTGTTTGGTTAGGGAATTAGAAATGGATGGTGTGGATTGACTTTGGACCCCTACACCCTCATATTTCCTTCTCTCTATCCCGTGGCTCTCTCTCTCTCTCTCCTCCATCCCGACTCCCTCTCTCTCTACACACCCATACGTACGGCCACACCCAAACACCTTCCAAACTCGACGGATCGAGGCATCCAAGGTATGCATCTTCATCCTTTTGACATTCTGAGTTGAATGGTACTAGTTTTAGGAAGTGAAACCTTCGGAATCACGTGAAACCCGAACCTCCATTTTTTGTCACTGTTCATGCGAACGTAAAATGTTGTGTTTCAGGGAATTCTAAGCTTGTAGTGAGCTTAGTGAGGTTCGAAGGAGGCTCGGAGTACTTCGTTTGAAGGATTTGGACGTCGGGATCACGTGGTTCAAGTTTGGCCGAATTTCTTGGAATTTTCCCGGTGAGATTTCTTGATTTTTAGAGCCTTAAACTAGTCTATCATGATTCTTCATGTTTGGGGCTTCAATTTGGTATAAAATAGGAAGAAAATGGGTGAAAAACGAAGGAGAACGAAGAGTTACAAAATTCGCCGGAAACCGGCCGCCGGAAAAACCAGTCCGGCGAGCCGAGGAGGAAGAGGATGCGTGTGGGCGCGTGGGGGCGCGTGGGACCTTCAAAATTTTTTCTAAAAATTGTGCGACGTCCGTGACGTCGAGTAGGTCGATATGGTATATTCATATACCCAAATTGAGCATCGTATGAGAAGTTATTTCGAAATATTGGTGATGTGTTTAAAATTAACGTTTTTATAGTTGTTTCGCATATAGGTGACACCTATCCCGAGGACGAGCGCATCCAGGGACGCCACGGGGGTTACGACCCCTCGACTTATCAGTGAGTGGGCAGTTTTGATTTCGTATTTACCTATATACAACTGTTTTTCCCAGAAAATCCGTTTATGTGAAAATTATGAATCTATTTGCCATGCATGAAACTGTTGAGATATTTAGTTTGATAATTGATATATATATATATGTGAAATGACGCGGTGGACGCTCATGTGAGTTTATTTATTTTCAGCGGAGTTATTTATCATGGATTGCATTGAAAGCTCATGACCTGGACCTAGGTGATAGTGCTTATATTGTTATTCACCACACCGCACGCTCGTCTTGGATCCAAGTAGGTGGATGTCGTACAGACCATGTGAGGGTTCCAACATGCTAGTCGTACAGATCACTAGATGTGATTCCGACTAGTGGGTGACCTTAGTTATGCGCGTTGATGATTGATGAGAGAAGCACTAGAGCGTATTTATACACCTGTCATCGTACAGACTACTATATGTAGTTCCGAGTGACGTGCAAAGTTGAACCGTACAGGTCACCGAGGTGACTCCGGTTGGATTGGATGTTGAGCTTTAGAATCAGCCGTACAGGACCATTGTAGGGTCTTCGGTTGATTTATCATTCACCTGATTGATATTGATGTATTCTGATCATATTTTGGGCATGGCATGTCATTATTGAGATATTATGTTGATGAAATTGAGTTGAGTTTGATGTTGCGTATATATATATATATATATATATATATATATATATATATATATATATATATATATATATATATATACTATTTTCTGGGAAAGTATACAGGTTTTTACGGTGAGGGGTTAGAATTGTTTTTATTGAACTGTTTTGGAAAACTATTTGATTTTACTGACCCACTCACTTTGTTTTGTGCCCCTCCAGGTTCTAGTTAGCGGTTGGTGGCTCTCGAGGTCTTATTCCGGCTTTCTGACAGACTCTTGGCATGTAGGACTCACCTGAGGGTGATGTACTTTTATTTTAGTCCTACTTGACTGCACTTAAACCTATGCTCTGAATTCACGTGTTTACTTTATAACTCGTCCTGTTATTCTAGTAGGTTGCTCTGCTAGAGTTTGGTTTGAATTCCTTCTTATGCATGTTATGGTTTTGCTTCCGTGTCGCACTTATGGTTACGTCACGCTCACGTGACGGCCAGCACACCTGGATCCTCCGGATCGGGGTGTGTCAATAAATATAGTACGAATAGTTAAACTTGGTAAAAAAACTTCTGAAGTCTTGGATCAAATAATAGATGGATTCAGATTCCACTTCTTGTAACTCGTGATATTAGTCCTAGTAGTAAATTAGGCAAACCCGATCTGCATCAAACTCGAGTGCTTATTGTATTATAAATCCCCCTGGTTTTGGGGAGGTAAGGCATCGATCTTAAACAAGTTCAAAAAGCAGTACAAACAAAGAACTTAATAGGTTGTTTTATGGAAAGAATAAACAACAAAAAATAATAAGAGCTAGAGCACTAGCTAGCCTATACTGCATGTGATTTTAGACATGAAAATGTTAAGGAGACTAAATTTTTATGTCTAATAATATAATAATTGATGATTTATTACTCAAATGTTGATTAACGTGCTTAATTTATATTGGTTACACATTATTTTATTTGCAAATTTGATTTTCCTAACATTGTCATTTTAGACATATGTTAGAGGTCATAGCAATGTGTGCATTGTCGACCCAGATGCATCTACCCATGAGTATACTTCCAACTTTTGATCCCGTAATTTTAAGTTTTCTTCTACTCTTGAGCAGGGCCGGCCCTGCCGTTCGGGGCTCAAAAATTGGGGCCACCAAAAATAGTGGGATATTTTATATAAGTTTATGTTATATTTTTATAAATAGTAAACAGTTTGATTCATCATTAAAGTGTTGTTTTATCAGTTGCTGGTATGTGTTGCTTTTTTGTATGTATGAGGCTGCGTGTTCGATCCTCGTTAGTGTTTTGTAATTCAATGAGGCTTTGGTTTTAAAAATTGAATACTAAAAATCAAAG